AGATGGGGGACCCCAACGCGCCGTCAAACCCCCCAACTCCAACCTCCCACGGTGCCACCCTGCGACCCCCCAACTCCAACCTCCCACAGTGCCACCCTGCCACCCTCCACTCCAACCTCCCACAGTGCCACCCTGCGACCGCCCCACTCCAACCTCCCACAGTGCCACCACTGAGAAGTGCACCCCCCCCACTACAACCCCTCACAGTGCCACCCACTAACCACCCCCCAGTCCACTCCCCAGTGAGGGCAGCATGGGGCACACACCGGGCGAGGGGCACCCCAGGGCCGGGCCAGGCCCCAGCACTTACGTGGCTGTAGGGGTTCTGCTTCGGGCCGGGGGCATTGAAGCGCCCGTGGGTGTAGTAGGTGGGGGACTCGCTCGTGGGCCCATACGAGGTGTGTGCGCTCAGCAGCTCCAGCTTCCCACGGCTCCTCCTGAGGCACGAGCAGACGATCTAGAAGGGCGAGAGGCGGAGGTGAGGGTCGGTGGGGGCCGGGAGGAGAGAGGCTGGAGGGGGCCTGAGGCCGCAGGGATGGGCAGGGGGGATACTCACCAGAAGGATGAGGACGAGGAGGATCAGCACCAGTGCGACGCAGCCCAGGACCAGCAGGGCGATGCCCCAGCCGGGCACCAGGGGGTCGGGCGCCGGGGTGGATGAAGTGGAGCCGATAAAAGTGGCTGAAACGGAAGCAGGAGCAGTCAGGGGCTGCGGGGCACCCAGAGCACAGGTGAAGGGGAGAGGAGGGGAGGGTGCAGGAGTCGGCAGAGGGCCCCAGTCGGGCGCCGGGGTGGATGAAGTGGAGCCGATAAAAGTGGCTGAAACGGAAGCAGGAGCAGTCAGGGGCTGCGGGGCACCCAGAGCACAGGTGAAGGGGAGAGGAGGGGAGGGTGCAGGAGTCGGCAGAGGGCCCCAGGCTGGCCAGGCAGATGGGACAGAGCTAGGGGCTGTCGGAAAGGGGCTGGGCCCGGGGTGCAGGGAAGGGGCCCAGCCCCAGCCGCCCACGCCCCCCCTGCTGGGACAGATACAGGGAGGGCTGGGCTGGCGCCCGCAACACCCCCCAAGCAGCCCAGCCGGGGGGCAGCCTGGTCCCCACAGAGCTCTGCCCCAAGGCCGTGCACACCACCCCCCCACAGGGACCCCTGGCCGGGGGCTGTGCGGACACACGGGGGCCGGCCCAGGCTGCTCACCGTTGATACCCTCCAGCTGGAGCCCGACGGTTTTATTGCTCTCCAGACCCTTCTCCAGCTGCTGCTTAATGTCGGTGTCGTTGATGCTGCTGTTGCTCGCTCCGTACAGCAGAACGGAGGCTGCCACCACCGAGCCCGGGCTGCAGAGCAGGCCACAGAGGGGGGGTTAGCTGGGTCTGGCCCCGCCCCTTCCCACCTGGCCCCTCCCCAGCTCCCCAGCTCCTGCCTGACCCCAGCCCTGCTCCCCGCTTCTCACCTACCCAAGGCCCTCGGCTGCAGCCCCTCATTCAGGCTGTTCCCGCCTGTAGCCCCCCCCCACCTGCCCAGCACAGCCTCCTGCAGCCCCCCAGCCTCTCTCCCTCCCTGTTCCCTCCCCAGCCCTGCAGGCTGCCCCCTCCCTTCCCCATGTGGGGGCAGCCCCATGGCGCTCGCTGTACCTGAACCCCAGATCGGTGAATCCCTGGTAGTTCTGCCCGTTGGGACAGTCTGCGCAGCCATAGACCTGCAGGTACTGTCACGGACAGAGAGGGGAGCAGGGTCAATGCCGGCCCCCAGCCGTCTGGGGGGACCTGCCCCGGCCCCTGCCAGACTCCCTTGTTGTGCTCTTCCTGGGGGGGCAGGAGATGGGGGCAGGGGTGTCTCCCCAGAGCCGGGCCCACCGGAGAATTGTGTGTGGGGGGGTGCCGGGAGCGATCGAATGGAACTGGAAACTTGGTGTCCGGGAACCACTCCGAGCCGGGCGTGGAGCAGCCCCCAGCACCCCTAGTTCCAGCACCCATGTCCCGGGCTGGTGGCAGAGAGGCAGAGGGGGCTAGAGCCGAAGCAGGCTTCCAGATGTGGCGTAGTGGGGGGCTGTCTGCTCTGTGTCCCCGGATCCCCCTGCGTAGTGGCTAAAGAAGGATCACGGTGCCAGGCTGTGCTGGGGGCGTCGTGTTGACTGAAGGCGCTGGAGTGGTTCTGTTGACAGGAGACACCGGGGTGGTTGTGTCATTAGGAGGCACCAGGGTGGTTGTCTCAACAGGAGATGCCGGGGTGTTCGTGTCAACAGGCAGCGCCGGGGTGGTTGTGTCACTACGAGGCGCCAGGGTGCTCGTGTCAACAGGAGGCACTGGAGTGGTTGTGTCACTGGAAGGTGTGAGGGTAGTTGTGTCACTAGGAGGTACCAGGGTAGTAGTGTCAACAGGAAGTACCGGTGTGGTTGTGTCACTAGGAGCCGCCGGGGTGGTTGTGTCAACAGGAGATGCCGGGGTGGTTGTGTCAACAGGCAGCGCTGGGGTGGTTGTGTCACTACGAAGCGCTGGGGTGCTCGTATCAATAGGAGGCACCGGTGTGGTTGTGTCACTAGGAGGTGCCAGGGTGCTCATGTCAACAGGAGGCGCCGGGGTGGTCGCGTCAACAGGAGGCGCCAGTGTGGTTGTGTCACTAGGAGGTACCGGGGTAGTCGTGTCAACAGGAGATGCTGGGGTGGTTGTGTCAACAGGAGGCGCTGGGGTGGTCGTGTAAACAGGAGACGCCGGGGTGGTCGTGTCAACAGAAGAAGCCGGGGTGGTTATGTCACTAGGATGCGCTGGAGTGGTCGTGTCAACAGGAGACACCGGGGTGGTTGTGTCACTAGGAGGTGCCAGGTTAGTCGTGTCAACAGGAGACGCTGGGGTGCTTGTGTCAACAGGAGGCACTGGAGTGGTCGTGTCACTGGGAGGTGCAAGGGTAGTTGTGTCACTAGGAGGTACCAGGGTAGTTGTGTCAACAGGAGGCGCCAGTTTGGTTGTCTCAATAGGAGGCTCCAGGGTGTTTGTGTCAACAGGCGGCACTGGGGTTGTCGTGTCAACAGGAGGCGCCAGTGTGGTTGTGTCAATTGGAGGCTCCAGGGTGGTTGTGTCAACAGGAGTTGCTGGGGTGCTCGTATCACTAGGAGGCCCCGAGGTGCTCATGTCGCCAGGAGATGCCAGAAGGGTCGTGTCACTAGGAGGCCCCGGGGTGGTCGCGTCAACAGGAGGCGCCAGGGTGCTCGTGTCACCAGGAGATGCCGGGGTGGTCGTGTCAACAGGAGATGCTGGGGTGGTTGTGTCAACAGGAGGCGCTGGGGTGGTCGTGTAAACAGGAGACGCCGGGGTGGTCGTGTCAACAGAAGAAGCCGGGGTGGTTATGTCACTAGGATGCGCTGGAGTGGTCGTGTCAACAGGAGACACCGGGGTGGTTGTGTCACTAGGAGGTGCCAGGTTAGTCGTGTCAACAGGAGACGCTGGGGTGCTTGTGTCAACAGGAGGCACTGGAGTGGTCGTGTCACTGGGAGGTGCAAGGGTAGTTGTGTCACTAGGAGGTACCAGGGTAGTTGTGTCAACAGGAGGCGCCAGTTTGGTTGTCTCAATAGGAGGCTCCAGGGTGTTTGTGTCAACAGGCGGCACTGGGGTTGTCGTGTCAACAGGAGGCGCCAGTGTGGTTGTGTCAATTGGAGGCTCCAGGGTGGTTGTGTCAACAGGAGTTGCTGGGGTGCTCGTATCACTAGGAGGCCCCGAGGTGCTCATGTCGCCAGGAGATGCCAGAAGGGTCGTGTCACTAGGAGGCCCCGAGGTGCTCATGTCACCAGGAGGCGCCAGGGTGCTCGTGTCACCATGAGGCGCCGGGGTAGCAGTGTCAACAGCAGATGCCAGAGTGCTCGTGTCATCAGGAGATGCCAGGGTGCTCGTGTCAACAGGAGATGCCGGAGTGGTCGTGTCACCAGGAGATGCCGGGGTGGTCGTGTCACTAGGAAGCCCCGGGTTGCTCGTGTCACCAGGAGATGCCAGGGTAGTCATGTCACTAGGAGGCCCAGGGTTGCTCGTGTCACCAGGAGATGCCGCAGGCTAAGTTGGAGCCATGAAGGAGAGAGACAGAGGAGGGGGCTGAGGCATCCTACCCTAATTCCTGTAACCAGATTACGTCTAGGCTGTGCTGTACCCTGAAGGAACAATAACCCCTCTCTGTTCTACCGGCTGGTGGAGTCTGTTCGTGCTGCTACGGGGGTGCAGGATCGGGGAACCCCCAGCTCACCGCCACACAGGGCATGGACTGAGGGACTCTCCCCTTGCTGCTCCAGGACAGGAGCCTCTGGGGCTGAGAGTCTGGGGCCCAGGACTTGGCCCACGGGGGGTGGAAGTTTCCCTGCTCCCGGCTCTGAGGGGTTTCTGCTACGGCAGAGCCTCATGGGTCATTGAAGGGCAGCGGGAGCACGGGTCCGGCGGCGGCCTGGTGGAGCTCATGCCAAGTTCCCGACACCTTGGGGCTGGCAGCCACCCCCAGGGGAGACAGGGCCCGCGGTTGGGCTGGACTTACCGTGGCCTTGATTACACCCTCCAGAGCCTGGTAGTAACTGGAATTAGAGTAGTTAGTAACTGGAAACAGGGTTGAGAAGGGAGTCGTTGAAGTTCTTGTTCACAATGCGGAACGACAGCGAGAAAAGAAGGATCACGGTGCCAGGCTGTGCCGGGGGGGTTGTGTCGACTGCAGGCGCCGGTATGGTTCTGTTGACAGGAGACACCGGGGTTGTCATGTCAACAGGAGACGCCGGGGTGGTTGTGTCACTAGGAGATGCCGGGGTGGTTGTGTCAACAGACAGCGCTGGGGTGGTTGTGTCACTACGAAGCGCTGGGGTGCTCGTATCAATAGGAGGCACCGGTGTGGTTGTGTCACTAGGAGGTGCCAGGGTGCTCATGTCAACAGGAGGCGCCGGGGCGCCGGTGTGGTTGTGTCACTAGGAGGCGCCAGGGTGGTTGTGTCAACAGGAGATGCTGGGGTGTTTGTGTCGACAGGCAGCGCCGGGGTGGTCATGTCAACAGGAGGTGCCGGGGAAGTCATGTCACTGGGAGGTGCGGGGGTAGTTGTGTCACTAAGAGGTACCAGGGTAGTCGTGTCAACAGGAGGCGCCGGTGTGGTTGTGTCACTAGGAGGCGCCAGGGTGGTTGTGTCAACAGGAGATGCCGGGGTATTTGTGTCGACAGGCGGCACCGTGGTGGTTGTGTCAACAGGCGACGCAGGGGTGGTTGTGTCACTAGGAGGCGCCGGGGTGGTTGTGTCACTAGGAGATGCCGGGGTGGTTGTGTCAACAGACAGCGCTGGGGTGGTTGTGTCACTACGAAGCGCTTTGTGTCATTAGGAGGCGCCGGGACGGTTGTGTCAACAGGAGACGCCGGGGTGGTTGTGTCACTAGGAGGCGCCAGAGTGGTTGTGTCAACAGGAGACGCCAGGGTGGTCGTGTCAACAGGAGGCGCCGGGGTGGTCGTGTCACTAGGAGGCCCCGAGGTGCTTGGTTGTCTCAACAGGAGATGCCGGGGTGTTCGTGTCAACAGGCAGCGCCGGGGTGGTTGTGTCACTACGAGGCGCCAGGGTGCTCGTGTCAACAGGAGATGCCGGAGTGGTCGTGTCACCAGGAGATGCCGGGGTGGTCGTGTCACTAGGAGATGCCAGGGTGGTCGTATCACCAGGAAGCGCCAGGGTGCTCGTGTCACCAGGAGATGCCGGGGTGCTCGTGTCACCAGGAGATGCCAAGTTTCCCTGCTCCCGGCTCTGCCCTGGGGTGCTCGTGTCACTAGGAGATGCCAGGGTGCTCGTGTCACTAGGAGCTGTCAGGGTGGTCGTGTCATCAGGAGATGCCAGGGTGGTTGTGTCACCAGGAGATGCCAGGGTGGTCGTATCACTAGGAGGTCCCGAGGTGCTCGTGTCAACAGGAGGCGCCAGAGTGCTCAGTCTGGGGCCCAGGACTTGGCCCACGGGGGGTGGAAGTTTCCCTGCTCCCGGCTCTGAGGGGTTTCTGCTACGGCAGAGCCTCATGGGTCATTGAAGGGCAGCGGGAGCACAGGTCCGTCGGCGGCCTCATGGAGCTCATGCCAAGTTCCCGACACCTTGGGGCTGGCAGCCACCCTCAGGGGAGACAGGGCCAGGGGCTGGACTGGGCTTACCATGGCCTTGATTACGCCCTCCAGAGCCAGGTAGTAACTGGAAACAGGGTTGAGAAGGGAGTCGTTGAAGTTCTTGTTCACAATGCGGAACGACAGCGAGAAAAGAAGGATCACGGTGCCAGGCTGTGCCGGGGGGGTTGTGTCGACTGCAGGCGCCGGTATGGTTCTGTTGACAGGAGACACCGGGGTGGTTGTGTCATTAGGAGGCACCAGGGTGGTTGTCTCAACAGGAGATGCCGGGGTGTTCGTGTCAACAGGCAGCGCCGGGGTGGTTGTGTCACTACGAGGCGCCAGGGTGCTCGTGTCAACAGGAGGCACTGGAGTGGTTGTGTCACTGGAAGGTGTGAGGGTAGTTGTGTCACTAGGAGGTACCAGGGTAGTAGTGTCAACAGGAAGTACCGGTGTGGTTGTGTCACTAGGAGCCGCCGGGGTGGTTGTGTCAACAGGAGACGCTGGGGTGTTTGTGTCATTAGGAGGCGCCGGGACGGTTGTGTCAACAGGAGACGCCGGGGTGGTTGTGTCACTAGGAGGCGCCGGGGTGTTCGTGTCAACAGGAGACGCCGGGGTATTTGTGTCAACAGGCGGCACCGTGGTGGTTGTGTCAACAGGAGACGCTGGGGTGTTTGTGTCATTAGGAGGCGCCGGGACGGTTGTGTCAACAGGAGACGCCGGGGTGGTTGTGTCACTAGGAGGCGCCAGAGTGGTTGTGTCAACAGGAGACGCCAGGGTGGTCGTGTCAACAGGAGGCGCCGGGGTGGTCGTGTCACTAGGAGGCCCCGAGGTGCTTGTGTCAACAGGAGATGCCAGGGTGCTCGTGTCACCAGGAGGCCCTGGGGTGCTCGTGTCAACAGGAGGCGCCAGGGTGCTCATGTCACCAGGAGATGCCGGGGTGGTCGTGTCACTAGGAGCCCCCGGGTTGCTCGTGTCACCAGGAGATGCCGGGGTGCTCGTGTCACCAGGAGATGCCGGGGTGGTCGTGTCACTAGGAGGTGCCGAGGTTGTTGTGTCACTAGAAGGCGCCAGGGTGGTCGTGTCAACAGCAGGTTCCGGGGTGGCCAGGCTGTGCCGGGGTGCTCGTATCACCAGGAGATGCCAGGGTGCTCGTGTCACCAGGAGATGCCAGGGTGGTCGTGTCACTAGGAGGCCCCGGGTTGCTCGTGTCACCAGGAGGCGCCAGGGTGCTCATGTCACCAGGAGCTGCTAGGGTGCTCATATCACCAGGAGATGCCAGAAGGGTCGTGTCACTAGGAGGCCCCGAGGTGCTCATGTCAACAGGAGGCCCCAGGGTGCTCGTGTCACCAGGAGATGCCAGGGTGCTCATGTCAACAGGAGGTGCTAGGGTGCTCGTATCACCAGGAGATGCCAGAAGGGTCGTGTCACTAGGAGGCCCCGAGGTGCTCATGTCAACAGGAGGCCCCAGGGTGCTCGTGTCACCAGGAGATGCCAGGGTGCTCGTGTCACCAGGAGACGTGGAAGGGATCGTGTTGCTGGTTGATGATGAGGACGTTGATGTCACCGGGCTGGTTGTGCCATTGGAGGAAGCTGGGTTCGTAGTGGTATTTTGAGCTGCAGAAGGGGACAAAGGGTCCATTCAGTTCACAAGAAAACAACAGACTTGGGGTTCAGGTGAGGAGCAGAGGTTCCTGGATGGGTAATGGGGCATCCTAGAACCCTAGAGCACTAGGACGGGAAGGGACCTCGCGAGTCATCGAGTCCAGTCCCCGCCCTCCCGGCAGGTCCCAGCACCATCTAGACCAGGCGTGTCGAACAGGCGTCTGGCAGGCTGCATGCGGCCCGATTGACATTTTTTGCAGCCTGCCACTACATTTTTCAAAAGAATAAAGTGCAGCGTGCTCGTGTCACCAGGAGATGCCGGGGTGCTCGTGTCACCAGGAGATGCCGGGGTGGTCGTGTCACTAGGAGGCGCCGGGGTGCTCGTGTCACCAGGAGATGCCGGGGTGCTCGTGTCACCAGGAGATGCCGGGGTGCTCGTGTCACCAGGAGATGCCGGGGTGCTCGTGTCACCAGGAGATGCCGGGGTGCTCGTGTCACCAGGAGATGCCGGGGTGCTCGTGTCACCAGGAGATGCCGGGGTGCTCGTGTCACCAGGAGATGCCGGGGTGGTCGTGTCACTAGGAGGTGCCGAGGTTGTTGTGTCACTAGAAGGCGCCAGGGTGGTCGTGTCAACAGCAGGTTCCGGGGTGGATGAAGTGAAGCCGATAAAAGTGGCTGAAACGGAAGCAGGAGCAGTCAGGGGCTGCGGAGAACCCGGAGGGGAGGGGAGGGTGCAGGAGTCGGCAGAGGGCCCCAGGCTGGCCAGGCAGATGGGACAGAGCTAGGGGCTGTCGGAAAGGGGCTGGGCCCGGGGTGCAGGGAAGGGGCCCAGCCCCAGCCGCCCACGCCCCCCCAGCCGGGAC